TGTTAATTAGCTCCTCCAGCATTCAGGTCAACACGTTTTAGGATCTTGTAATCAGCGGAGACTGCTATGGATCAGGATCAGTGTGCTTCTATATGGTTTGAATTATTGACCTTTATATGCTTTTGAAGACAAAAGCATATAAGTACAAAAAATATTGTGAATGCCACGAGATTAACAGGTCTTAGAGTTAGTTACTGAAGACTTGAAGGATTTTAAACATCTAAAATTGAATGCATAACCAAAGCCTACACGATTTAGTAATATTTCATATTGCATGTTGCTCATTTTTCAGTTTAGCTTTTTATCAGGATTAAACTGAACAAACACACAGCATCTCAGCTGTTGAATTTCAAGTTTCTATCATCATCATCAGTTCTACTTCACTAGTGTTACGGTTTGGAGGAGGACTCAAGTGCAGGACTCCGGTTCTGATGCTCACAAGAAGGGTTTATTTACAATTCACCCGGTGTATATACAAGAAGGTGCGGGGGGTGCTATATACAGCTGAGTGAGGGAAGAAGGGGTCTCCAGGGAAGTCCAGGGGAAAAACACGCGTTCTTCAAATCATCTACACACACGATCACAGGCTCACACTCCGACACTGCCACACGGGAATCACACGAGGGAAAATCCAGGAAGCTCTGTAGACAGGGAGACAGGGTTAAATACGACGCACAAAGGAAAATACTCTTAACTAGACTTGCTGTAGCTTGACTTCACAAACGCGTGGTAGACAATGATCCAGCGATGAACAGCAGTCACCTCCTGGTTTAAATGCTGATCGTCTTAATGAGACCCAGGTGTCTCATCTGTCAAGGGCGTGGGCCGAGGGCGTGAACCCACAATGAGTTCCGCCCCGGCGACAGAGAGAGAGAGAGAGAGCTGATCAGCGTGCAGCTGATCCGCCTGGCCGTGACAACTAGTATGATCTGGGTGAAATGCTGCTTTCTTGATTGAATATATACAGGCATGCAGGGATAAAGGAAGATAGGATGTCTCTGAGTCTGAGCCCCTGTATACTGTAGAGTGACTGTCATCAGTTTTCATAGACACATCAAGCAACTACAAAGAAATGTGAAATTACATCAAAAAGGAACAAAGGGACCAAAAAAACAGAAGCCAAAAGTCCACAAAAGGAAAACTAGTCCAATACAAAGAGACGCACATCAATCACAAAGAGACTCAAAAAACACAGAGGCAGGAAAAAAATTACAAAATCTCCAAAACATAGACACTGAAGTGAGACCTCAAGCAGCTACAAAGAGATGCAAAATGACCAGAACGAATTGGAGATTCAGAAGAACAGCCACAATTACCACAAGGTAACAAAAAGAAAAAAAATCACAGACACTCAAAATGACCACAAAGAAGCACACCAACTGCAGAGAGTTGTAAACAGACCATAAAAGTGTAAACACACAATAAAAAGAGACAAATACAAAAAAATGTAAAATGACTGCAAAGATGTAACAATCCACACCAGGAAAAAAGAATCAAATGCAAGAAATGCTAAAAAACAACAACCACAAAGACACAAAATGACGAGTGAAAATCGTGAAGAAGATTGAAAATCCACAACCTGAGGAAGAAAGAAGAAATCAAACACATGTCAACAAACACACTTGCTTACGAGACTGTAAGCAAAAACCAATGGGACCAAAAACAACCATATGACCACAAACAAGTGGAAATTCACAAAAATGAGCAAGAAATCAAACAAAAGGTGACAAATCAGTAAAAATTCACAGCAAAAGGAAAGAACAAAAGTTTCACGTTCACCACAAAAAGATACCAAACTAGTGTGAAGAGATAGACTGACCACAACGACAGACAAAAAAAACCTAAATGACAGGAAACGGTTTAAAACACAAAACAGTAAATAACAATAAATGATAAATATTCATCAATCGCAAAGAGATAAAACACATTTCAGTCTGGCCAACTTGCTCCAGTGGAAGCAGGGAGCGAGGTCTCATATCTCTGCCTGTCTAAAGGACTTTGACAGCATGTATGTTCAGTGTTTGGATAATCTGTGTAGAAATGCACAAGTATTGTTCTTAGAAAAGCTCTTAACTTGTGTAATCAATATATACTTAGAAGCTAGACTCAGAATGCATTTATCTGATTTTAAATTGCTGTCAAGACTGCTCGTTATCACCCTCTCTACAGTCCTTTTATTTTACTTGTTTTTTCAGAGTCTTTGCTTCTGACATATTTTAATTGTCAGGAAATAAAATCACTGAGGAGAGAAATCAGATGCAAGTGGAAGGTTTTCATATTTTGTCAAGTTGACACAAACAGTTATTCATTACGTTTTCTATTGAATCTTGAAATTGGCACCAAAATGCTGGTAACATTCTCCGTACTCACGTTTAATCATCTTATTTTGCCCAACAAAAGTCCAAAATTGAAAGTCATTACATTTATTGACTATAAACATTAAAATGTGAAAATTATCAAATTTGAAAAGCTGGAAGTGGAGAACTGTCATTCTCAGAAATCTTTTAAATGACTCATTTACTGATTATAATAATTGCCGCCTGTCAGCAAATCAGTAAAACCAGAATTTCTTCAGTTTCACTTATTTTATTAACTTGTTGAGATTTTTGTCAAATTTTGTCTATTCCCCATACATTTATAATATATATTTAATATATATTAATTTGTATATATTAATTTTATGCTGAATTCATACATATTCTGTGTTATGACGACAAGATTTTCTCGGTGTACTAACACTGTAAGAAAAATATATGACTTTCTTTTAACAGAAAAAATCCTAAAAGTTCATAAAAAAATATGTCTGGAAGAGTTTGTGGTCAAATAATAAAGTGAAGACCGGCTTCATGTTACAGATGAAATATGAAGATAAAGTGACTGAGAGGCAACAAAGAGAGAAGAAGAGAGTAGAGACGAAGGCTGAGCAGAGACTGATAGCATCAAACTGCAGGACAACGAGGACAAGGACAAGCTGATGAAGTGACTGACTCTGAGCGTGTGTGTGTGTGTGTGTGTGTGTGTGTGTGTGTGTGCTGGAAGTGAATACAGATAGAGCTGTCAAGATAGTGAGTTACTGATAGAGAGAGAGGGGGACGACTGCTGAAGGAGAATCAATAAGAAGGAAACCATGAAGGAAAAGAGAGCGCGAAAGAAGAAACAAGAAAGGGAGAAGGAGCAAGATTGAGATAAACAAGGGATGATGGGTGGGGAAGGAAACTAGGATGTTTTGGAAGGAGTGAAGGATCCTCAGGTATGGGTGGGGGATTGGCTGCAGGCGGAGTTACCTGTGATACCTGTGATGTTGCTCTTTACAAGATTCTTTTCTGTACTGTATGTGTGCTGTTAATGTTATTGTCTCTCAGTATAACACACTTTAATACTTTTAAGGCCTTTTGTTTGTTAATAAAAGCCCCTTAAAAAGACTTTAAGCACCCTTAGCCACGCTCTCTTAGCCTCAATATGACAGATGGGTTTGCAGGGTATCTGCCATGTCTGTTTGGAGAGATGACGGTGGGAAATTGTTGTGAGTAACAGCTTTGTAGCAGCTAACAAGCCTAAATTAAGAACAATTAACTTGATTCTCACCATTTTTTTTGAAGAGCCAGTGTTAAGTGCATTAGAATAAAGTACCTTTGGTTAATTTGAGTTGAACTGCACATGCATCTATAAATATATATATTGGGAATCCGTTGTTGGTTGACAAATGTTTCAATTAAATCGTTTTATTCACTGACTGTGATGTTTGTTGGCATCCACCTTGTACGTGTGGTTTCAGATTCATTCTGGTTCTGTTTTTGCCTTTTTTGTTGAGTTCAGTTTTGTTGATAAAGTGCCAATCCACAAGATAAGTCATTTCACGGCTCTTGTTATAGTGAGGTAAGGAGAAACCTGATAATTTGCAATGAAAACACACTCAGCACTATATTGTTATCTGAGAAAAGGATGTTGCTTTGCTGAAAGCAAATCCCAGTTCTTAGAGATGAAGACTTTTTTATGAAGTGTTGTTCGTTTTATTTCTCCGGTCCCAATTGGAACAGGCCCAACTGGGATTAACTTTTATACAGAAGTTTTTGCTCTGATTAGTTTTCCTATAGGAGCAACTGAAATGAAAAACACAAAAAAAGAACATCTGCTGCTCTTCAAAGTCAACTCTGCGCTGTGACGTTGTGATTCCAGGTCGTTCTAAAGCCTCCATTCAGGTTTTCCGGGAAATGTGGAGACGTTGAACGGCGCCTTTGACTGAACAAACTGCCTCTCTGATCACGATGAAAGACATTTAAGCAGACTCAACATCAAAGAAGGGAGGAGATGCCGCCACTGCTCGCCTTTCAGCAGATTAAAGAAAGTCTATAAACCTAAAAACAAAGAATACAGCAGGTTCCTGTGGCTTTGATAGCAGTGATGAGTTATCCTGCTGAGTGAAGCTCTACAGGTTGGGGGTTAATACTCAGAGCCACACTCTCTTCTCTGAAGAGACATGTCTGGCAGAGCTAATGACAAATATGGATAAAAACGTGAAGCAAAAAGAGGATAAAGCATTAGAAAATGTATTAGAATTCTAGTCCTGATTGATCTGCTTTAGAAAACAGAACAAAGCCCTGAGCAAGGCATTATTGGTTTGGAGTTCAATTTTGGAAAAAAAATGACAGGAACAAAAGTACATAAAGCTACAAAAAGAAGCAACAAGATGAACCTTTAACTTCAGTCATACTATATATGTATATATAATGCATTTACTGTCACACTGTGTGGGCAGTTACTGGGTTTGAAATTTGTTTTAAGGGTTGATGAATTAGCTGTTATACTTGTTTTTTTGCTGTGGAAATATCAATCAGTGGTAGATGTTTTGACCTGTGCTACGGTATACAAATTGCTGATTCCTGAGGAGTTTATTTATTAAATGAATTATTTCTACAATGTTTATGATGGTTGTCTGTCTGCTTTTGTGATTGTCCAGTTTAACCGGTGAATACGGGCATCATAAGTGTTGTCTTCCAGAAATGTGCCCTGGATGTATTTGTGTAGAAAGAGAACAGTACAGACTGAACACTATCCCCTCTGAGGATCTTTTAGCAATTTTGTGCTTTGCATTTTTTATGATTTAAAATCAGCATAATATGAGATTTATTTATATTTTTATTATTTATAAGTATAAATAATTAAATAGTGATTTAAATGTGTGTTAAAGCACACCTGTATTTGATGTAGATGAGTTTATTTGTCCTTTTGGTGTCTTGCTTCCCTCTAACTCCTTGTCTCCTTTGCTTTTTCCTGCAGCCTCAGATGCCTCCTCATCTTCTTCCTCCTCGTCTGGTCTTGGAGGTTTTGTGGACTTCATTTTTACCCAGGAGCCTCAGGACACGGTGACAGTACGCGGCAGTGTGCTGCAGCTAGACTGCCAGGCACAGTCAGATGCCATGGCAGGACCCCCCACCATCACATGGCGTAAAGATGGAGTGCTGCTTAGCACGGTGGTCGATGAGCGACGGCGACATCTGAGTAACGGCTCGCTGCTGGTGCAGAATGTGATGCACTCGCGGCACCATCGGCCCGATGAGGGAGAATATCAGTGCCTCGCCACGCTGGATGGACTGGGAAGCATTGTGAGCCGGACAGCAAGAGTGACTGTGGCAGGTAAGAGACTACTTGGTTTTAGAGCTGAACAAGTATCTATTCATTCAAACAGACTCATGAACTCAAAATGCAAAAATGTGATTTCATAGCTCACACTTAAAAGTAGTTGGTTTCTCAGTTTGAAGATCCTGTAATTTTCAGGAAACTATGAAATCATTTTCTTTCTCATGTCTACAATCATAACAAGTTCAGTAGATAAACCATTTTCACTCAGTTCCAGATAGTTTAGCTTCTTCGATATAGTTTTGTGAGCTAAACCTTTGCTTTGTGAGGGCCAAATGCTCTGGGAACTTTTGATCCACAGTTGGCAGATGAAGATGCTAGATGTTGTTAGCTGAAATTGTGATTGGCTGAGTCTTTAGCAAATTGCTTTAGTCACCCATACTTTGTCTGCAAACACTCTTCAAAAAAAGGGCTTTGAAATAAAAGCTGTGCCTCATCATGCATTTATATCAAGTAGGTTAGACTATTGTAAAACTTTATTCACAGTATAATGCAAATCATTGGAACAACAACTTCAACTCCATCACAATGCAGCTACCACTGTCCTGAAACTCACATGGAAATGTGAACATAACACCCCAGTACTGAAGTCCCTTCACTGGCTCCCAGTTCAGTCCTTTTAGAAAAGCAATGCAAGCTCACAATGCTTTGACCCTTCAGTACATCTCCAACTGGTCGGTCTTTATAACCCAATCAGACCTTTCAGGTCACCAGGTGCCGACCTGTGTTTTTTTTTGTGTTCCCAGTATTAGATGTGTGCTCAGGGTTCTCTCACTGTGGTCTAGTTTGTTGGAACAAGCTGTCTGCTGACCTGAGGTGTGTGTTTAATTAAAAAAACACACACTCAAAGATTTTATGTGATTTTATATAAATACACATTTTTTCCAGAGGCCACTGACTGGTCCATGGGTCTGCTTGACTGGGGCTTTAACAGTCGATTTCTCAGCAAATACCATCAACTTCCAGCAGCCATTCACCAACCGATTGGGAAATACATATTATTCCCTCCAAATTCATGCTTACCAGATGATTTCTAGACCTCTGTGCTTTGAGCTTTAGCTGTTAGTAATTGTAGCTCACAAAACTTGGAGGTTTTTCTTATACTTGGTGTGTGAGTTAGTTTATAGTTTATAATAACTTTAGCCCTGTCCTCTGAACCTGCTAATATTAAAATATACAACAAATAAATAAACAGCACATCCGTGCTGTTAGAAGCCCTGGTGCCCCTCAGGGGTCGTTTTCAATCTTCTTTTCGTTGTGTGACTGGTTTTCTAGTATGTCGTGCAAAAATAGAAAAAAAAGAGAGTCATTCAATTGTTTTTCGTAGACAAATGAAATGGAATTTGGATGCTATAAATAGACTCAGAGTTGTATTAAAGATTAAAGCACAGATTGTTTTTGACTTTGTCTTTGACTCTCAACCATAATCACACCAGCTGGTATTTGTTGGAGTTGTAAGTTCGGGTTCTTGTGTGTAGCCTCATGATTTTTGGTTGCTGATTTTATTTTGTTTTTTCCACCGATATAAGCCATCATGCATTGTAAGAACACATCACTTGTTTGTGTATTTTGCTTGGATACAAAAAGAATAGAAGCGATCCAGCATGCACTGAATACGAAATCACTGGACTTAAAAAATAAGAATAGAGCAACATTGTTGAAAAACCTTTCCTTCAACTGACAGATACAGATATGTCTGAAACCTGGGCTTTGTAACCAGTAAATATTTGCATGTTGTCCACATGTGTATTTACATAACATACAATTTCTATACAACAGAAGAGAAAATGTAAGCATAAAAAAACTGAACAAATGGCAAGAGTGAAAGAAAGAAATAATGAGCAGAAGAAGAATGATATAGAAGGAGATGACTGAATGAATAAAGAGTATCGGAGAGGAGATTCCCCTCATTTAGATTAACATGGCCACAACACCTTCACCTCTCCTTGCAAGTTATAGCAGCACAACACACATACACACACATGCTCCCATAATATTGCTGTTTCCATTTATTTTACTGTTCATATTTACTTAATAACACCAAAGTAATTCACCTGTAATGTAATTTAGTAAGTGGAGCGAGGCTTAAGATCAATACAGTTTATGGAAGACATTAATAGAAAGCAGCTCTGAGGCTTTAGTGCATCACCATGACCATCAGTCTGCGCAGCCTGTACTGTGTGCACTATGTTGTATGAGAGCTTATTGAAAGTGTGATGGGATTAAAGACAAATGCAACTAATCAAATATTCTGTCACACAACATGCCAGAAAGTGACCTGTCCGTGACATCTCAACAGGTAAAGATTAATGCAGTCAAAAACAATTCAGAAAAAATAGCATTCAGTAGCTTGTGAAGTTTAACATTTATATTACAGATCTAAACAATTTGGATCATGTTTAAAAAGGAGAGCAGCTGCACAAGGTTTCAGACATTTATAATCGTGTAGCAGCTCATTGTTACTTTTACTTTTGGAGGTTTTTCATTGCCACACTGGTGGTTAGGCAGTTTATTGATACATACTGGCAGTAGTCGTATTTTTAAGTGGTTTTGCATTTTTTACGTCAAAAAATAATCGTTATATTTATGAATCACTGACATTTTGTCTTTCTTTCTATTTGTGTCAGTGTGTTAAAAGTACATAGCAGAGAAAGCGAAAGAAGGCAAAAAAAATAATAATTGTTTTGGGAAACTTTGAAGTGGCTACACCCATATATCTAAAATGTAACAGATTGAGATTCTAAATGAACTCACAGAGCAGTTAAATTATCTATGGAGCCCAAAATGTCTTTTTTGTTGTTGTTGTTTGTTGTTGTTTCTTTGCTTTTAACATAAAACCCTATGGGGATCAACTTACTTTTGAAGACAACCTTAAGTGGTCAGCACGTCTCTGCTGACTAAAGTTTCCTGCTCTGGATATTGCAGCATTGTCAAGACATAAGGATGAGATAAGTCGATGCCAAAACACCTACTAAATCAAGATGACTCTGAGTGTAGTCAAACCCCTCCAGGAGACTGAGACAAGTCTGAGTCTAGATGAAATAACGAGCGAAAAACAGGACAACTTGCTCATTTCATGGTCTGTTTGGCATGTGAGTGAGGAAAGAATAAGTGGAGCTGATATGGTCAAGCCTAAATTGATGCACCAAAATACAGCGCTGGGCACTGCCTCGGCTCGGTACTGGCCCAGAATCAACTGGTTATATGAGCTGCCTGATACCCGTGCAATGGTAAAATGGTTCCAGCTATGGTGACCAGCACTGCGGGACATGCAGCACTGCGGGACATGCAGCACACCACTTCATCACCGAAAGAACTCACTGTGAATTTTAAACTCTTATCCAAACCTGACCTGAATCATTAAACACACATGTTCCAATCAAAGTCAATTAACCCACATTCAAGCATTACATTAAAATATGAATCAGCCCTACCTCCATGTCATTCACACAAATGCACACATAGACACGCATGGGCAACACTCAAGCAAGCACACAATGCATTACATGGCAAAATGCTAATGAAAGGCAGAGGCTTAAAATTCAATTAGCAGTCTGGCTGTGTGCGCGTGTGTGTGTTCAGAGATGACTGTAAACTGGGAATTAATTAGAAACACTGAACTCTCAGAGGAAGAGGGAGAGAAAGCATATAAGACTGAACAGAGAAGAAACGCTATTGAAGAATGAAAAGAGAGAACAAAGAAAGTGAATCTATTGCTGAAGGGTGGTAGAATAAGAAAAGAAGAAAAAAAGAGACATCCTACACAAAGTGAATACCAAGTAAAATGAAGTGGAAACACTGGGAAAAGAGAGAGATCAGATCATAATGAGGAGTACCCGTTTATGAAGAGAGTTTAAATTTAGACTTCATTTATCTACAGAAAAGGTACATTTTACCATTGAGATATCTGTTGCATTCAGGGTCTATAAGACCCTAAACAAACATTTGAAGTGTGGTTTAATAGTGTTTAAAGAAAAGAATGAAAATTTAATTCATTTGATTGCAAAACCTGTCAAGCCCGCCATATTGTTATAGAGCATGGTGTAATGTATTTCTTACTTTTGGCTTTCACTTTTCAATTATCTAACCTACTGTTGTTTGTTTAATAATTCAGGTATTAGTGACATTAAAGGAGAATAGTTAATACTTATTGTGACTGCACCATAAGCCCTTTCAAATCTGCTTTCATGAAGCTCATAAACCCTCATGAATCAGTTGTTTATTGTTTCCACAAGAATTTAAAGTCAAAACCTAAACAGACAAAATGCATTATTTACCTTATTTATGAATAATTTAAACCTGTACACAGATTGTGCTTAGAGTATACTACGTAGTGTATACTTGAGGTTAAAAGGTCACCTTGTAAGTATATGCACTTACTAATGGCAACTGCTCACTTTATTCCTTGTCTCCAGTCACATTTTACTCTGAGTATACTCAAAATAAATAAGTTGCCCTAACTTAATCATCTTAACAGATGTTGAGAATCAATAAAAAGAGCTGTTTAAAATACACTGTAAAATTAAAGGGCAACCAGGGAAGAGAACCTAAAATAGGAGTGATATGTTTGTTTTGTTCTTCAGTCTGGTGGCAGGGCCAATGGTGATTATAGGTTTAAAATGATTTCTCAGACCACACAGTGGTGGAGGTGTAAAGATGAAACCGCCTCCAGCATGCCCATTCCCAATTAGCCATCAACTCTTAGAGGATTTGTGCAAGTCCCAATTAATGTTGGTGAGGAGGAGCGAGGTTCAACCCACAGAAGCAAATAATAATTGTTCCCAAGGCGAAGACTCGAAGCAGAAACGTCCCGCAAAATCCCTCCGCTGCCCTCGCCTGTTTGCTGTGATTTGCATGTTATTATTAGTCTGAGTCATTTTGATCTATTTGTGTAATGAGGATGAAAACAGCAGGAGACAGCAGCCACCACCATAAAAATGTATTTGTTAGTACATATATATATTTTAAAATGTTTATTTAACACTGTGTGTTTGTGT